TCGATGACAATCGCATGTTGAGATGACGGTACGTACTTGACGTAAACTACTGTTTCAAATTCCCAATGAGCTATCGTGGTTTCTGCCATGCTAAGTTTAATGGATTACGTTTCCTGCATCTTACTACTTTTTTGAGCAGATTCATTTACATCTTCTTCTTCTGCATGAATGCAACAGAACATTCATTTTCCATCTTTGCGTGGACTGCTCCTTTCATCCAAGAGGAAGACCTCCTCTTCCTCCCTCTTGAGTCTCAGAGAGGGATCATGAGACGTTAAGGACATGGAGTTGCTCGGCTTCTCTGCTTCATGTCACCTCTGTCTCTTGCTTCTCCTATCTATTTTATGGCTCTATCACCATTTGAACCTTGCCAAAACTCTAATAGGAGAGCAACGAACGACAAATTCTTGCACTACAGATCGGCCCTCTTCACTTCCCTGGGTTTGGGCTTGCTTCATCTCTTGTTGTGTGCCCTGGGAATGGCGACGGGCTTCTCCGTTGCATGGTTTGCCATAGTTGCTGGCTTGCTAGTTGCTACTTGAATTCAGTAGCTCGAGTGAGGATAGCTTTCCCACCTTCCTCAAGATTCGGTGGGTTCTCTTCTTACTTTCTTCTTGTATTTGCCTTTCTATAGATTGGTTCTTAATTATGCTGGATTCATCGGGAATAGATTGGTTCTTAGTTATACTGGATTTATCGGGAAAAGAATTTGTGGAGGAAATCATGCACTTAACGAGGTATGTATCATCACTCACGTGATTGGTTTACAGGACACTTGTAACTAGTAATTAAAAATTATGCTCATACTTAGCTTAGCAATCTATTCAAGTTTGTTGATGACTTTTAAGGAGGCACTAGTGCCAACTACCATCCCCTCCTGTATACGGTCTCAACTCTAGTGATTACCAAAATGATTTTTATTTCAGTTTACCTACAAGAAAGATTTTTTTATGAAAAGGGGCTTCAATTTGTTCTTTCAGTAGTTTTGCTCAATACTCCCTCGTAGCATTTGAGCAAACCTACGCTAGAATAGGATGTCTCATGCAAAGTCACTATAAACGTTGCATAGCATAGTTTGCAAATACATGAAGCTAATAAAGTAATCTGAAGTAGGAAGTCTGTTCCAACACATCTTCTAAAGGAATATTTTGATCTTTAGGTAAATATTAATTTTCCATATCACTTTCTAGCCAGGCCAATTATCCTGTATGGGTTTACTCTCTCTCAATAGGTGATTAGCATCATACAATTTATAATAGTACAATTATTTGGAGTTGAGGCCCAAACTCATTTGTTATCATCGGAGTTCCTAATCAAGTACATTCTTAAAATCCTCTTCGAAGCTCAGGATGAAATGCAACATTCAATATTCCATGGCAACAATCATTTTTAGTTATCAAAGTTGCAATAGAAGAGAAAGAATAGACC